TATATGCCCAAGGGTGCAAATGCTGGAATATATGGTAAGTACATGTTAGTTTTGTAAGAAATTGCCAAATTCTTTTTCAGAGTAGGTATACCATTTTACATTTCCACTAGGTAGGTATGAGTGATCTAGTTTCTCTATATCTTTGCCAGCATTTGGTGTTAATCAGTATTTTCTGTTTTGACTGTTCTGATAGGTATGTAGCAATATTTCATTGTGGTTTTAATTTTTGTTTCCCTAATGGCTGAGGATGTTTCATGTGCTTATATGCCATTTATATGTATCTTTTCCAGAAAAATGTTTATTCATGGCTTTTGTCCAATTTTCTGATTGGATTGTTAGTTTTCTTTTTACTGTTGAGTTTTGAAAATTCTTTATATATTATAGATAAGTTCTTTGTTGGATATATGGTTTACAACTTTTTTCCCCCTGGTCTTTAGCTTGTCTTTTCATTCTCTTAATAGGGTCTTTTGTAGAGCAAAAGTTTTTAATTTTGAAGAGGTTCAAGTTATCAGTTTTTCCCTTTGTTAATTGTGTTTTTCTTGTCAATTCTGAGAACACTTTACCTTGCTACAGGTTGTGAAGGTTTTCTCTTAATGTTTTTTTCTATGCCTTAATTTTTTTTTATTTTTACATTTAAGTTCATAATCCATTTTAAGTTAATTGAGGTCCAGGTTGAGGTGGTTTTGTTTTTGTTTTTTGTTTGTGCCTGTGGCTGTGCTCAGTTGCCCCAGCACCATTTGTTGGAAAGGAGTCACACCTTTTTTTTTTTTTTTAACTGTATAAAGTGACCTTTTTCTAGGTTAAAGATTTTTTTTTTTTAATTTAACTTTTGGGGTTTTAAGACCACAACCCTTGTTTTATTTGCATTTGCCTGCTATACCTTCATCTGTGGTTTTATTTTTCAACCCTAAAAGACATTTTGTTTTAGATGTGTTGTCTGTTTTCATTATAGAGTTGAGTTTTGTCTAGTGATACAGTGTGAAGATCTTTTTCTTTTACCTTAGTGAGTTTAGCCCACTTAATATTTGTTGATATGTAAGAAGTTGGTCTGTTTTGAAATAATTTGTTTTTTGTTTTTATAATTAATTAAAACCTTTTACTATGTGGTATATTTACTTTCGTTCAGTTATTTATAAGTTGTATAAGTATAAAGGCATGTCCTCCTGTGTTCCAGGCTAACTAGAACTTTCCTTATGATTCAGGATTTTGTGTATGAATTTGTTTAGCTGTTATCTTTTCCCAGCCAATGGGGCTAGGCATTTTTTTTTTTTTTCACAATACAAAACTTCGCTTCCAATGCCCTTGCCTTAGAAACAGAATGCTCTTTGTGAATAGGGTACTTCTGAATAATTTCTTTTTGATTTCTGCCTTCTCTCTTTTCTTGTTGGAAACAAACTGAGGAGTTTCTGCCTGTAGCTGTGCATCTTGTTTTCATTGTTACAAACATGGGTTTTATGTTGTACACTTGGAAAAGTTTACCTTGCTACCTCTTTGTGAAATATGCGGTTTTCTTGTTTTGCTTCTACTTTTTGGAGCCCTTGTATAATAATCTCCATTGCTTTTGAGAATGCCTCCACATATTCTGATGGTTGAGTTTTAGTTATATCTGTTTTACCAGAGAAGGAGTTTGCATTTTTATTTTGTTCTCCTTGTTGATTTGGATTATTTTTAAGAAGAGAAGAGAGAAGTGGAGTTTATATCACTATTTTCTTTTTTTTTTTTTTTTGAGACGGAGTTTCGCTGTTGTTACCCAGGCTGGAGTGCAATGGCGTGATCTCGGCTCACCGCAACCTCCGCCTCCTGGGTTCAGGCAATTCTCCTGCCTCAGCCTCCCAAGTAGCTGGGATTACAGGCACGCGCCACCATGCCCAGCTAATTTTTTTTTTTTTTTTTTTTTTTTTTTGTATTTTTAGTAGAGACGGGGTTTCACCATGTTGACCAGAATGGTCTCGATCTCTTGACCTCGTGATCCACCCGCCTCAGCCTCACAAAGTGCTGGGATTACAGGTGTGAGCCACCGCACCCGGCTTATGTCACTATTTTCTTACCAGAGGTTAGTAATAGTATCTTTAATATCTTCATTATCTTCACAAAGCATGTTGCTATATTTTAATACGTTTTTAATTATTGAGAGAGCAAAACTTTTGTTGGGTTAACTAAAACAGATTCCTGAAGTACTTTAGTTCTTTTTCTAAATTTTATTTAAAAATACAAAAGGGCTAGGCATGATGATTCATGCCTATAATCCCAGCACTTCGGGAGGGTGAGGCAGGAGGATCGCCTGAGGCGAGTTCAAGACCAATTTGGGCAACATGGTGAGATCCTCTCTCTACAGAAAAACAAAACAAAACAAAGAATTTCATTTTATTTAGCTCTAAAGAATAATAAATTCTCTATGTATTACCGTTTCAAGTTGTGAAGAATTGACATATAGAAATGTCTATTGTTTGATAGCTCATGTTATTCAGGAAGAATTCTGATAAAAACCAGAGGAAGAATTTATTGTCCACAGGGGGATTTAGTGAGTTTTATTTTGAAGAGAGTATATTTCAATTTTTGTAGTATTTACACTTTGACAATTATATATGCTTTAAAAAAAGTATCTACTTGTTTAAGAATATTTGTACATTTCCTCCAGAATTCTAGTCACTATCTCTGCAATTCCATCTTTTTTGTCCCGTTTTCTTTCTCTGTATGATTTTTAAAAGTCTTCTCTTCCAGCCTGTTACTACATCAGCAGGTTTGCAGTGGAGAAGTAATATGAGACTTTTCTATTATTGTAGGATTCTTGAGGGTTATGAGCATTATGCTTAACCTATTCTCTTATCTCCCTTCCCTTGATGAGGACAAAGCTTGGTGTTTTTTGTACTTTTAAGTAATTGTCCAAGTGTCATATAGCAATCTGATGCTAGTTGTTTGGTGTTTTCATGTCACAAAAATAAATCATTGCAATATAAAAAAAGTGTATTATCTATTTCTGTGTAACAAATTGCTCCAAAACTTACTAGCTTAAAACAAGAAGTGTTTATTATGTCTCAGCTCTCGAGGGGCAGGAATATTAGGAGCAGCTTAGCTGGGTAGTCCTGTCTCAGGATGTTTTGTTCTTACATAAATTGCAGTTAAGCTGTTAGCAGGGTCCACAGTCATCTCAAGGCTTAACTAAATCCACACAATCACTGTAGATAAAGTCACTGCAGATCTTTAACCCCTCTGCTGTTATCCAATCTCCAGCTCACTGCTAGATATTTTTTTTCTTTTTGCCATCATCAGCAATGGTATTTGCAACCCCCCTGACTTTCTTCGTTCTGTTCTTGTGTTCCTTTTGCTGTTTCCTTGAGGTCTTTTTCTTTTCATATAGGGTGTTTATTTGGCAAGCCTATGTTTAGTTTCCTTTTTCTTTGTATAATCCAAGGATTTATAAATTATGCCAAAGACAGTTGTCTTGCCACCACTAAAATGGGTTCTGAATTCAAATCCCAATAAGATATCTGGTGTGTTCTTAACTCATTTTGGCTGATTTTTTCCTTATCTACTTCTAAATTCACACAGGCAGCTGTTAGCAGGCATCAGTTCTTTGCTGAGTGTTTACCATAGACCTTTCTTCCTCACTGCATGGACCTTTTCATAGACTTCTCTGACTGTTCTCATATCATGACAGCTACTAATCCAAGAGAGAGAAGTGAAAGAAGAGGCCCAAAATGGAAGCTGTAGTCCTTTATAACTTAATCTTGAAGTGATATGCTATCACTCTGCCATGCACAAACCAACACTGGTGAGAGAGGACTACATAATGGTGTGAATACCAAGAGACAGGGATCACTGGTGACTACTTGCAGGTTGACTCCCCAAAATAGCAATGCCGTATTTCAGAGAGAAGGACTGACTAATTTTCATACTTCTGAATTTATTTCCAGTACAGTGGATTCTTTTTAAAAGAGATACAATGTATTTTTTAAGATGATGAATAATGTTTATATACTTATTTCTATTGCCCAGGCTGGAGTGCAGTGGCATGATCTTGGCTCACTGCAACCTTGCCCTCCTGTATTCAATGATTCTCCTGCCTCAGCCTCTTGAGTAGCTGGGACTATAGGCATGTGCCACCACTCCTGGCTAATTTTTGTATGTTTGGTAGAGACGGGGTTTCACCATGTTGGCTTGGCTGGTCTCAAATGTCTGATCTCAGGAGATCCACCTGCCTTGGCCTCCCAAAGTGCTGGGATTACAGGCGTGAGCCACCATGCCCAGCCTTATGTAATTATTTCTGCCATGTTCTATGAAGAATAAGTATTTTGCTATGTTTACGTTGAATTTAAGAGATTACCCTGACAAGTTTGCAATGATAATTGTTCATTTAGTTTAATTCTTTTAATTCATTTGATGTCTTACTAATGCAAGACCTAAAGAATTATCCTTGTAAAGTATTTGGAAGGAGATATTTAGCTAATTTTACTTATCAAGTATTTATTTGAATGTAAAGTTTTTATTTTTCCCAGATAGCTTAATCTCTTAGAGTAGAGACTGTCCCTCTAATGTTAAATAATAGGGAAGGAGTGGCTACTTACATTTGTATAATGCTCTTACATTTGTAAAAGCATTTTTCCTTAATGTGTGGGAATAGACAAATTAAGTTTTTGGAATTGATGCTTGCTTGGTAAAAAGGGATTCTAATACTGTTCTCAATCTTTTGGGGGATGCATAGATCCCTTTCAGATTGAATGAAAGTAGTGGTCTTTCCAGAGAAATGCACTTATGCACACGAAGGTAATTTTGCAATTTAAGGGGATCATCAGAAGGTCTGTGGACTTTAGGTTGAGAACTCTTTCTTTGAAAGCACAGTTTCTAAAGTTCTCTGGCAGAAGGGAGTGCTTTTTGGTTTTCTATATAAAAGGAAACAATGTACCTAACTCTAATTTGAAATACATGTTTTCATTTTACATGGCTTCTAATTCACTTTTTCTAATGATGGTTTTTGTTTCTTAATTTTGCTTCCCCTTTAGCATCTGGAGCATAAGAACAGTACTTATTTTCTTCTTTTCCAAGAGAACAGAAAGAAATAGTAAGTTTAACTTCAATTTTTAATAAATACTTTAAAAAATACCTATCTTAGAGAATACTGGTAAGACAAGTTATAAAATAATATATTGGAATGATAATGTGGTAAATATTGAAGAGTTATTATAAATCATGAGAAAGGTTATAAATGATCATGATGGTTCTGTTTTTAATTTGTGTTATTTCCATCTTGTTCATTTAGATTTTTTTTATGTAAAACAAACTTTTTTTTTTTTTTTTGAGACAGAGTGAGGGGGATGGGAAGAGCCTGTTGCCCAGGCTGGAGTGCAGTGGCACCATCTCGGCTAACTGCAACCTTCACCTCCTGGGTCAAGTGATTCTCGTGCCTCAGCCTCTGGAGTAGCTGGGATTACAGGCGTGTGCCACCACACGCAGCTAATATTTTGTATTTTTATAGAGACGGGGTTTTGCCATGTTGTCCAGGCTGGTCTCAAACTCCTGAGCTCAGGCATTCTGCCTGCCTCGGCCTCCCAAAGTGCTAGGATTGCAGGTGTGAGCCACAGCACCTGGCCGAAACAAACATTTTTAAGTAAAGAGAGTTTATATTTGTTAAATTAATCTTTAAGGAAAACTTAGTTTGTTACAGAGTCTTGTTTCATTTTTACCTCACCCCATATTTTTACCCCATCTATTATTTTGAAGTATATCCCAAATGAATCTCTCCATTTTCATACCTACAAAAGAATTCTTAATATCATAAAATATTAAATATAAAAATACTTTTCTGTTGTCTCATAAGTATAGTTTGCTTTTAAAAAATTTTGTTTGATTAAGGATCCAAATAAAGTTTTTACAAATATTAATATATGGCTTTCAAATTGCCGTCCTCACTCATGACCTCTTTTCTTTTCTGCTCACATTAGGTCCTATAATCGACCCCAGTGACTGTTTCCTTGCTGACACTCTTGACCCTTTGGCTCCTCCTTATCATCCTACTTATCTGTGAAAGCCTACCCTCTTTAAATATGATTATATGCCTACTCAATGAGTGGCAAAACAGTATTCTGATTAAATACGCTTACAGGTTTAATCTCACTGAAGCAGCTAAACTTGTTAGAGGAAAATCATATAACATGCTCACCTGATCAGACTTACTTTAAATCTATGATTGCAAATATCAAATATGTACTTAAAACTGCTTTACGGTTCTTTTGTAATTCTCCAGTAAATTCATCTTTTTCTCTTTCAGCTTGATGTTTGTTACTGCATTTCTGCTCAAATCACTAATACCTGCCTCCTTACCAAAAACCAACAATCAAATCTAACCAAACTAAAACCCACCAGCCAACCAAATAAAAAAAATCAAAAGTCACAAACAAACAAAAAAACCCTACAAAATCTACCTGGTCACTCTTAAACTATAGTTTTACTTTATGCAGAAAATAGATATAAACAGATGAGAGCTACCTACACCACCAACTGCAGTTGTCCTTCAGTATCTGTGAGGGATTGGTCCCAGGACCCCTAAGAATAAAAATGGTATAGAATTTGGATGTTACCTACACATCCTCCCCATACTTTAAATCATTTATAGATTACTTGTAATCTCTAATATAATGTAAATGCTATAAATAGTTGTTATACTGTATTACTTTTAAGTTTGTATTATTTTTTATTGTTGTATTATTATTTTTTTCTGAATATTTTTGATCCATGGTTGATTTAATTGTTATAAGTGCTGAACTCATCCATGTGGAGGGCTGACTGTATATCAAGTTAGCTCTATCTGTACTCATTATGGTTTCATCCTTCATTGTATTTTGAATGACTGGCCTTGATCTTATCTATGGCTGTCATTTATGCTCTGGATTCTAAATACTCTGGCTATCTCTAGAGCTTTGCTCTTATAGTAATCTCCTGTAGTTAACATCTCTTTTGCATCATTTTCTAATTTATTATTCCTATTGGTATATAATCCTGCCTCAGTATGACTATTTGGGGGGAAACCTCCCCTGACCCTGCATTTCTGTTAAGCTACCACCAATTTCTTTTGCTTGTTCAAAACAAAATTTTTAAAAAAATTGTTTATAGTTGGTATCTCCTCTTTTCCCCCACTTATTCCTTCTCAGTATATGTTGTTTAGGTTTTGTTTCTACCGTTTTTTACTGCAGTGGCTCATTTCAAGGTCACCCATTAACTATGTCTTGTCAAAGCTAGTAATCAGTTCTCTTTTCTCATCCAGCTTGATCTCTTAATAGCATTTGAATTAATTCGATTATTCACCCTTTTTCTGAAAAATTTTTATCTTTAAGCTGCTTTGACATCACTTCACTGGTCATTTCTTTTTAGTTTTATTTGCTTTACTTCTTTTACTAGAATTCTGCCTTTGACTTTTTTTGATAACTTGTTTGAGTCTGTGCTGTCTAATAGAACTTTCTATGATGATGAGCATAATCTGTATGTACTGTTCAATATGGTATCTGCTAGCCATTTGTGACTGTTGAGCACTTGAAATGAGGCTAATGTAAATGAAGAACTGAGTTTTAAATAGCTTAAATTTAAATAGCCCCATGTGGCTACTGGCTACTATTAATACATTAGACAGTGCATCTCTAGATGATTTTATTCACTTCCACGGATTTAAATCTTGTCTATTTGTTAATGATTCCCAAATCTTAATCCTTAGGCCAGACTCTTCAGCTATAGACTTGTGTAGCTAACTATGTAATTGACATTTCCACGTAGGAGTGTAGAGACTTGTATAGCTAACTATGTAATTGACATTTCCACTTAGGAGTAAGTAGGCATCTCATGAGTAAAATGGCCAAAAGAGAATTAATATTGCTCCTCCCCTTTATTCCCACTCATATCTGCTCTTCTCTTTGTCTTTTCCATCTCAGTAAATGCTTACCCTATATGATGAATAGTTAAAACTTGTGTTAGTTAGGGTTCTCCAGAGTAACAGAACCAATAGGAAATATTATGAGGAATTGGCTCATGCAATTGTGGAGACTGAGAAGTCTCAAGATCTGTAGTTGCAAGCTGGAGACCCAGGAGGGCCAATGGTTTAGTTCCAATCTATCTCTGAAGGCCTGAGAATGAAGAGATCCACTAAGTGTAAGTTCTAGTTTGAAAGGTAGCAGGTTCAAGACCCAGGAAGAGCTGATGTTTCAGTTTGAGTCTGAAGACAGGAAAAGATAGATATCTTTGCTCAAGGGAGTCAGACATGGGGTGTTCACACTCAGTGGAGGGAGGAACAAACTTTTTGTTCAAGTCTTCAGTTGATTGGATGAGGGCCACTTCATTAAGGAGAGCAATCTACTTTACTCAGTCTATGGATTAAAATGCTAATTTTACCCCAAAACAGCCTCACAGACACCCAGAACGTTTGACCAATTATCTTGATACACTGGATGGCCTAATCAAATTAACCATCACAAGACCAAAAACCTGGGAGCCATTTTTGATCTTCTTTCATATTTAATCATGTTACTGGCAAGTCATATAATCTTTACCTCCAAAATTGTCTTGAATCTGACCAGTTCTCACCTTCTTTACTACTACAGTTCTAATGAATTATCATCTCTTGGTTGCACAACTGCTTTCTCACTAGTCTGTTTTAAAGATATTTATCAGACCTTTGGGTCCTTTGCTTAAAATTCTCTAATAGCTTCCCAATGCAACCAGAGTGAAATCTGAATTCTTACCCTGACTTTCTAGCTTATTCCTGTTTCTCAACCTCATCTTTCACTCTCCTTTATTCACTTTTGCTCCAGGCACACTCAGCATCTTTCTGTACTACAAACAAGTTCCGTGAACCTTACAGATTCTTTTTTCTTTTTCTTTCTTTTCTTTCTTTTTTTTTTTTTTTTTTTGAGATGGAGTCTCACTCTATTGCCCAGGCTGGAGTGCAGTAGCATGATCTCAGTTCACTGTAACCTCCACCTTGTGGATTCAAGAAATTCTCCTGCTTCAGTCTCCAAGTAGCTGGGATTATAGGTACCTGCTACCATGCCCAGCTAATTTTTTTGTATTTTTAGTAGAGCCAGGGTTTCACCGTGTTGGCCAAGCTGGTCTCTAACTCCTCACCTCAAGTGATTTACCCACCTCAGCCTCCCAAAGTGCTAGGATTACAGGCATGAGCCACCGTGCCCAGTTGAACCTTACAGCTTCTTAATTTATAAAATGGAAACAGAAAGAATAAGACCTAGTATTTGTTAGCACAATAGGGTGACTATAGCCAATAATAACTGTACATTTTAAAATAACTTAAAGAGTATAAATGGATGTTTGCAGTTCAATGGATAAATGCTTAGGGGATGGATACCTCATTCTTCGTGAAGTGCTTATTTCACAGTTCACATTGTATGCCTGTATCAAAACATCTCATGTACCTCATAAACATATGCAGCCACTACGTACCCACAAAAAATAAAATGAAAACAGAAATATTAGTTTGGGTAGCACTGTTAAAAGTAGTAAATGTAACTATATAGGAAAGCATATAAAAATTGGGAAGTGTTAAACAAATGTGAGCTAATGGAACTGATTCTTCTTTTATTTTTCTTGAATAAATGGGTTAGGACCCAGTACAGTATTCACTTGAAGTGGGAATAGCAAGTTTCCTTGTCTAGTTCCTGATTTTAATGGGAAAGCTTTTAATATTTTACCATTAAGTATGAGGTTTGCTGTAGTTTTAAAAAACTGTTAATACTTTTTATCAGATTAAGGAAATTTAAGCTTCTGATATTGTTTTTGGTGATAGTAATACAGCAGATGGTGGAAGAATAGGAGAAGTTTAAAGCAAATAGGCTTTCTGACTTCAAGGAATAGCAAGATAGTAAAAACATATAAGAAACCCTTTTCAAGAGTCTTCTGGAGCACTTCTTTAAGGAATTCAAATATAGGAATATTTTTAACTTATGTGATAGGCAGATCTGGATGTGGTTATAAAGGGATTTTTTTTGCTTTAAAATATATCTCAGAGGTTCTTTTTGTTTTTAATTGTACTAATTCATTTGAATAGGTATTACATGTACGTTTAAAATCAACTTTATAGAAGATTGCCTTGCAGTCACATAGTATTTTTTTTTAAGCCTGAAACTATTGGTCCTGTCCTTGTTTTTTGTTCTCGATTAGTTTTAGTTTTTTTGTTTTACAGGTTGGACCCTGTATAAATGACAGGGATTGGTGGCTGCAGGCTGTAAGCCAACTCTTGCTCACTGCTTTGTACAGCTCATGATTGGCTTTTATATTTTTAAATTATTGCAGTATTAAAATGAATAATATTTTGACATGTAAAATTTACATGAAATTCTAATTTCATCTTTTATTGGAACATAGCCTTGCTGTTTTTAGCTGCTTTCATCCTACAATGGCAGAATTGAGCATCTGTGACAGACTGTATGTGGTGCTCTCATCAGGCACTTGTAGTACTAATCATTTCATTATTTCAGGCACTTGTAGTACTAATCATTTCATTATTTCAGGCACTTGTAGTACTAATCATTTCATTATTTCAGGCACTTATAGGACTAATCATTTCATCTTTTCAGATTGTTGTATGACCAATGCAGTTATAACTTGACAGCATTTTTAAAGTGTCACATGTATTGTTGTACTGTGACAATTTTTATTACCCATGCATACCCATCATGTAAAAACCAAAAGTGAAAAGTGAACTTTGAATGTTGCACTTTTAGTACATAATGGAATGTGGACTATTTTGTTATTAAAAGGCAAAGCATTCTACTTTTTATGCAATGATGTTATAGCTGTGCTAAAATAGTACAATGTGTGTTGATTGACATTACCATACTAACTACACATCATATTCCCAGCTCGCAGAAAGCAATGGACACAAAAAATTAGAAAATTTTAAATAGAATATATTATTGCAGAATTTCTTCATAAAACTAAAAGGGAAAATGGGGCTTTAGCCAAAGGAAGTTTCTGAGTGACTTGTTTGTGAAGAAAGGAAAGCCATTTACCAATGATGAGTTAAGTTGTTTGCTGCAGCAGAAGAAATGTGCTCAGGGAAAATATACTTTAGTAACGTTTCAGCAAGAACAGTTGCCTAAAAAATTGAGAAAATTCAGGAAAACAAACATGAGTAGTCTATTAAAGAACAAGGCAAATGATTTCAAGTGATCTTTCTTGGCTGTTGTTGAGCTGACAAGTGTTATCAGTACCGCTCAATTGTAGTCCGAGTTGTCAACACTGAGCTGAGCTTGAAGTGACTGAAGAATTAATCTCTATTAAAAGTTTTTGCAGAACAACTTTAGGTGAGAATATTTTCAATGAAGTTTAGAAAACAGCGATTTACTACAACCTGAAGTGGAATCTGCTAAGATGTCCTGTAACTACTGGTAGTAAAAATATGTATGTAGCAGAAAAAGACTTAGTTGTACACATTGTACAACACTCTTGAAACTGTAAGGTGTTTAAATTCTGTGGTTATTCATTGTATTATTCAACAACAGGTACTTTGCAGAACATATTTGAATTTGTCTTTGTGTAGTGCCAAAGGGCATTTTATTGCTCTCATGGACTTAGCCATTGTCAGTTATGTGAATTTTAATCAGGAATGGAGGCTATCTTGACTTGCCTCACAGCAGTTTATGGCTTAGCAGTAGTAAAGATTTATAGTGATATTTTGAGCTCAGAATCTAGATTGAAATACTTCTGAATGAGAAGAACCAACTTTAGCTACTGTGTTTGAATACTGACTGGCTTTGAAAATTAGCTTTTGCTACAGACTTGATAATGGTTCTTAATTAATCCAACCTAAGATTGCAAAGCAAAACAATGTATGTATGCAAAACCTATAATGTGGTAAAGTCATTTAGAAAACAACATTGTAATGACAAGTAATCTTTTTAAAAGTGCTATAACAATGAAAACAAGGAGCAAGATCACCATTCCCACACAAATTTGCAGCAAATACATTGTCTGAGCTGAAATTATAGTTCCAGTAGAATTTTTCAGACCTTAATGCAAGTGCAAAGGAAATTTCCATGTTTCTAAATCCATTTCACTGTGTAATTGAAGAGCTTCAGTCTTTGACTGGAAGTGATTAACTTCCAATGTAATAATACTCTAAAAGGCAAATGCCAAGAGAAGAATCTAATAGAATTTTATAAATGCCTTCCAAACTAGTGAATATGCTCAGTTAAAATCATGTGCTTGTGGATTGACATCAGTATTTGGCAGTAATTACCTGGGTGAAAAGACATTTTAAAAGATCAAATATGTAAAATCTCATTACAGATCAGCATTAATGGATTACCATTTGCAATCAGTTTTGATGATAGAGAACACTTAGCTTTGAACCTCAATTAAGCAAAATGTTATTCAACACCCCGCCCCCCAAAGTATTCCATTCTTTTTACTGGTAGACTTATATTACAAAAAATTGAACTTAATTATTATGTAGGTTGAACCATTCCAAATCTGAAAATTCAAAATCTAAATGCTCCTAAATCCAAAATTTTTTTGAGTGCCAATGTGATACTCAAAGGAAATGGTCCTGGGAGCATTTTGGATTTTGGATTTTTGGATTTGAGATGCTCAGCTGGGGTATATTCTGTAGATATTCCGAAATTCAAAAAAATCTGAAATCTGAAACATTTCTAGCACCAAGAATTTCAGATAAGAGATACTCAACCTTATTTGAATTTAGTCAATAAAGTTTTGTGGACATTTTGTATTTATTTTGTACTTTTTAGGCTGGGCACAGTGGCTCATACCTCTAATCCAGCACTTTGGGAAGCCAAAACAGGTCACCTGAGATCAGGAGATTGAGACCAGCCTGGCCAACATGGTGAAACCTTGTCTCTACTAAAAATACAAAAATTAGCTTGATGTGGTGGCACACATCCCTAATCCCAGCTACTTGTGAGGTGGAGGCACGAAAATTGCTTCAACTCTGGAGGCAGAGGTTATAGTGAGCTGAGATCGCACCACTACACTCCAGCCTGGGTGACAGAGCACTATCCTGTCTCAAAACACAAAAAATACAGATTGGATTTTGCTTTTTGTCCCATAAAGCCCAACATACTTTTTTCTTTACAGAATAAGTTTGCTGACTCCTGGATCAAAGTACAGATGTTTGGCTTGGTCTTATCTAACAAAAAATTACTGTTTTCTTTAAAGATGTTAGCAGATTTTGCCCCCTTTTAAAAAGTAATAAGTTAGCTAGCACATTAAAGACTACTTAATCTATTTTGAAAAACATTTTATAGTAAAATCATCTTTTTATATGTTTATCTTTGAATTATTACATAATGATGTACTTCGAATTTGGTATTCAGCTGTTTGTTACCTAGAATTTCAGTGAAAAGTAATAATTTTATTTATAAATTTAATTAAGTATTAAGAATATTTACATTCCATTTGATAACACATTCAAGTCATAAGTTCTGCTTTTCATATGGAATAGTTTCAATTTATATTAGTTAAATATTTCTAGAGAAAAACTAGAAACTTAAATAAATTTGTAAATCAAACATTGACATTCATAAAAGATCTCCTCTGAGATGATTATTTCTGTTCCACCATGCCAACCTATATAAGCAGGCAAATTTTAGAAATGTTTAATTTTGAAAAGTTATTAGTATTCCTTTCTATGTCCCTTCTCAGATGTAATGTGATAGATTTTCAAGGTTTTTTAAAAAGTAGTGCTTAATAGTTTCAGGGTTGACTAAATAAAACATGTACTTACTTCCTTATAAACAAAGAGAATATTTTTATTACCAGTGTATAAAAAGAGATTTGATACTGATTTTGTAAATTAATGCAGGTGGGGTGTTGAAAAAGAAATAATAGAAAGTAATATTTCTGAAAACATTAAAAAAACATATGATATATTTCAGTTTAGAAAGGTGCTTTATACTATGTAAAGTCAATTTTTTTCCCTAAATGGCTTGTAATATATATTACAGGCAAAAATATGAACTATATCTGGGTGAAGATTGAGATAATTTTTGTCTCTACACATCGGTTAAATTTTGAGAAATCCTAAAATGAGAAGGTTTTCTTGTGTTTGCTACTGTTTGGCATGATTTTTTTCTTTTATCTAACTATCTTAATATTTGATTTAGCTTTGATTTGGATCTTGTTTTCTAGATGAAGCACTGGATGATTTAAAGTCCCAGAGGAAAAAAATAGTAAGTTAACTTTTATTTAAAATTAATTTATATTAAACTAATAAGAACTGAATAATTAATGTTTACGTGTTAGAGGTTAATAACTCTCCAAGGAACAAGTATGCTTTTAGATAGCATTTTAATGATGAAGTGAAATTGTGAATATTTTTGCTAGTTAATAATGATTGACAGGAAAAAGTAGTTTAGAAGGACTTTCGAGATTCTGAGAATTTATATCAGTTGGAAGCTGAGAAATAAGTAAATGAATCATATTGGAGGCCTAAATGATGCAGAGAGGGTAAAAAGGTGGATACCCAGATTGTTTATTAGAGCTAAAAAAGGACCAAATATCTCTACAAGTCAGTTCTCAGGTTCTCTTAACATCAAGAAAGAGAGGGAATCAAGAAGACTGGTTGTAAGAGAGAAATTCAACATGAAAATACTGAAGAAGAGATGGGGGGGAGAGAGATAGAGAATTGTTTTCTTCAGAGTTTTCTACTTTCTGTCAGTAACTCTGATCACATTGATATCTATTGTGGGGCTAGTTGATGCATCCCTTTGAATGTGTTGGAAAGAGGGCCAAGAGTAAGACAGGAGGAGCTCTAGCTGTTGATATATAGTAGTCTGTAATAAGTGAATTGAAGTTGGTATTTGACATAGAGTTTCTTATTTTTTATATGATTTATGATATATTTTTTATATGATTTATAATATATCATATGATTTATTTTTGAAGGATGAAAATGATAACTGCTAATAGTATTATGTTGTAGAAATGCATTTAATGAAATTTAGTCAGGTGCAAATGATCAATATATTTTAGTCTAGTATGTAACAAGTAATAATTATGAAACCAATATTATAAAGGTTAAAATTAATGTAAAAAATTTTTCTGTGAATTGATAAAAGATACTGGTCTTAAGGGCTTTAAGTACCTGAAAAGTAAGAGAAATATTTAATTTTAAAAGGATTAGCTTTATTTGTTTGCTCCTTATTCAGTATACTATGAGAGGTATTTATCAAAATTGCATTGGCAATTTTGGTGGTCCAAATTGAAACACAGAAATATCTTAGTATTATGTTTCTGCTGTTCTGCACATTATGGAACAGCCAGAAATTCAAAGTGAGGAAATACTGATGGTCTCAGTGATTTCGAAGTTGTGATATGATTGGTTTGGCTTGCTGATGAGATAATAAGAAGAGCTGGTACTGGTGATCAGAGACAAGTCCTGCTTATACCAAAATGGCAAAGTATTAAAGTAGAAAAGATGAAGAAGACAAAAGAAAAGTAGAAAAGAAAAAAGTCCTAAGTGATGAAAAGCAGCCCAATGCCACTGGCATCACATGGCCAGAAAATAGGATCTTGAAGAATATATTATTTTGGAAAATCTCTCAATAGAGTAACAGAGCTGACTTGGAAATTGTGTCAAAGGACAAGTCAAGCTATTTACTGCTTTTTAAATAGCCTTTAAAGGAATCTCATCATAAAAGATGTTCCATTTTAAGTCTGTCAACAGTTGGGAAAGTTCAGAGTTCACTAGCTCTGTATGTTTAAATGGTGCATTAGGCCTCAGATTTATAATTCAGTATGGCATTACTCTTGCAGTGTGACTAAAGAAAAGCAAGTTGGCTCTAATTTATTAATTAAACACAATTTGCATTTACTTGGTTATAATACTGTTTGCTACTGGAACTAGTCTATGGTCAAGCTCTTAACAGAGCAGCTACTTTGTTTGAGTAGTTTTACACTTTTTTTTTTTTTTTGAGATGGAGTTTTGCTCTTGTTGCCTAGGCTGGAGTGCAATGGTGCGATCTCGGCTCACCGCAACCTCTGCCTGCCAAGTTCAAGCAATTCTCCTGCCTCAGCTTCCCAAGTAGCTGGGATTACAGGCATGCGCCACCATACCTGGGTAATTTTGTATTTTTAGTATAGGTGGGGCTTCACCATGTTGGCTAGGCTGGTCTCAAACTCCTGACCTCAGGTGGTCCACCCACCGCGGCCTCCCAGAGTGCTGGGATTACTGGTGTGAGCCACCACACCCAGCTGGTTTTATACTTTGGAAAGATAGGTATTAAGGGCAAATTAGTAAGGAGCATAGTGCTAACTAATGATCATGTTAGTAGTCGGAGGCAGAAGCTAAACATAATCAAAACTGATCTTGTTCATTGATGTTTAGGTTTAAATACTACATTTATAGTTTTAAAAAATACTTTTATTGCTGAAATGACTACAGGAAAAAGAACTCTTGTCATCTAAAACTATGTAAGTCCCAACCTTCTCTTTCATTAACAAAATTAATACAAGTTATATTTACTACTTGATATTTTATTAAAAGTGGTTTCCTTGGGGATGCATCCCTTTAATCTAAAAAGATTTATAATGTAATTTGAAATTTGTAAAATTATAATTTGTAATGACAGATATGAATTATCAATTGATTAAAAAGTTAAATTAGGAAAATGTAGCATCTTAATGTTTTAAGAGCTTAGTGTATATACTTATTAATATAAGGTTAGGAAGTAATCTTTAGTTAGCTAAAAAATTCTCAAGTCTAGATGTGTGCATTTTACCACTCATGTATTTTGTGGTCCTTTAATAAAACTTTAGTTTTTAATAATCACAGAGTAATCTCTGCAAGCAGATAATCCCTCTGCATCCATGAACATTCCTTCAAAACAGTTCAAAAGTCAAGCTGTATCAAAATACAAGAGTCAAGATTACCTATTTAAGTGGCTTCATGAAAATTTTGTGCTTTTTTCAGAATGGTAGTCCTATGTGGTAATTTCTAGCATTCTTTGGGAAATTTATGTTTTTCTGAATCCTGAGAAAAATCACTTAAGAAATTGGGAACTTAAGGAAAAGTGTTACAGTTCTCTGAGAATTAAAGCTTAACAATCAACTACAGATGTTACTAGTTCAAAGGAATTCACTAATGTCAGCTGAAAGCAAGAGCAAGAAATTCTGACATGCTGAGTTACAGGTTAATGTTGACATTTCTGGGAACAGTACAGAAACATCTAGAAGTGGTACAATCTAATCAGTCTTGAGGGCATATTATAAGTGTGCTTTTATGACCCTCTCTTATTAATGGTGAGTCATTCTTGCAAATAAATATTAATGTTTATGTACCTACTATAATTTATAAATGTATTAAGTATAAATCCTATGCATGTTATTCCATTAAATAAGTTTTGGAAGCAAAAGAAGTCCTTAAATTGGCAATTTTAGCTTTTATTCTTTATAGAGCTCTTAACCTTATAGCAGTTTCAAATGTTACATTTTTATATTACCCAATAATATTTTCTGGCTTTTCCCAGTATTTGAATATTCACTTTAGGCTACACAGTAACAGAAGAAAATGCAAAGAAGAAAGGTGTGACTATTATTGTGGAATACTCTTATATGAAAGCAGAAAATGATGTAACATCTGAATTAGTAAAAACATCATCACTTTCAACAGCAAACCCCAAATCAGGGTAACAAGAAAGTATTTTCAGCATGATAAAAGGACGAGTTTATATGGTATAACATGCTCCCTAATATTCTGAATTGCAAAGTCAATGCAAAATGAAAGTTTTCTTACATCTGGAATATATGTCATCAATAAATATTGGATAGGGAAATCAATGCTTTGTGTGTTTTAAGATTCTATTTCAAGAATGATAATTGTAGGATTATTTGTAGAATTCTCTTTCAAAACTTAAAAGGTTTTTTTTTTTTTGACATTTATTTTGTGCTAGTGTGCCCTTCCTTTAATGTTTTCCAAGATGAAATGGCTATATCAAATAGAAATGATTTCACAATAATGTTATCATGTAATATAATCATGTGTTTATGTTCTATCTTTTAAAATAAAAAAACTCCTAAAACTTTTAGTACCACCATATTACAGAAAAATGATTCATTCTTTGTTATATCACTCATTATGTTTAAAATGCAAACTTATTAAAAATACAGAGTAATTTATGTTTTAGGGCAGGGGTATTCAGTCTTTTGGTTTTCCTGGGCATATCATATCGGAAGAAGAAGAAACGTATTGGGCCACAAATAAAATAGCTGATGAGCTCGAAAATAAAAAATTGTGAAAGAAGTTATAATGTTTTAAAGTTTATGAATTTGTGTTAGTCTACATTCAAAGCTATCTTGGGCCACATGTGGCCTTTGGCCGAGGATTGGACAATCTTGATTTAGAGAATTCTCAAGAATTCTAGTTTCTTGTTCCTGAATCTTGAGGTTAATCTGTTGAGTTTTTGAAAATTGTTTTAGGCCCATTTTGAATAATTGAGGTGTCATTGAAAATTATGTTAATGTTTTAGGCACTGTTGTGGACCCTTTCTCCTACATTACGTTTTTAAAAAACTGCACAGTAGTGCTGTGAAGAAAGTATTAAAATATCTATGCAGAGGAGAAACTGAGGCTGACAGATGTGCTGACAGTCTTCCTAAGAATGGAAATGTATATTGAACCCAGATCTTTTCTTACTTTGAAGCTTCAAGTTCACATTCTTTCCACTGAATAGAGTATCTCTTCATTTAAAACATATTATTCACTTAAATGTTGGATGAATGTGTGTTAGTTAAGCTATTATGTGAAAATATTTTGCTAGAAGTAAATGCAAAAGAAGGGAAATAGATTTGTATCTTTTAGTATTAAAAATGATTTTATTTAAGATACATAAAAACAGATGTACTTGAATACTTGCCGAATAATCTACCAGGAATGTAATCATTTGAAAAATTAGCATTTTGGTTTGGAGTTTTGTGTGTTGTTTTAAAGATCACAATTTAATCTTTTTAAACCTAGTGGTAGTTTTAGTCTAAAGATCTGTCCAAATCAGTATGACTATTTACATTTACATAGTTTAAAATGAAGTAAAACTACAGGGAGGGTGCAGTGGCTCACACCTGTAATCCCAGCACTTTGGGAGGCTGAGGCTGGTGGATCATTTGAGGCCAAGAGTTTGAGACCAGCCTGGCCAACATGGTGAAAACTCATCCCTAAAAATACAAAAATTAGCTGGATGTGGTGGCATGCACCTGTAATCACCGCTACTCGGGAGGCTGAGGCAGAGAATCACTTGAATCTGGGAGGTGGAGGCTGCAATGAGCCAAAATTGCATCACTGCACTCCAGCCTGGGCCACAGAGAGAGAGACTCTATCTAAAACGAAACAAAGCGAAACAAACTACAGTTCAGTTCTTCAGTTGCACAAGCAGCATTTTAAGTGCTCATTTATTGCGTAGTGCTTAGTGGCTACTATTATGCTGATATAGACGATTTTCATCTTTACATAAAGTTTTATTGCACAACACTGATATAAAACATAAAGTCTAATGTGTAGAGTACAGGGATTTGGTTCTTTGATATTCCATGTAGATTATGTTGATTTGGGGATATATTTTATGCGCTCTTTCTACCTACATTCGTAGTTTTTTCTAACTAAATTGTTACTATAAACATCTTTACATCAGAAAAGTCAACTTGCTTATTCTGAGAATTTATCATAATTTTGAAATAATTAGGAAAATATTTTAGTTTCACTAGACCAAAGCAAGTCTAATAAATCATTCATCTAAGTACTTAACTTCTTAAATGTTGAATTGAGTGTTTAATGAGGAATCTGTTAACTGCTATTGTGGCAGCATATTTTTAACTCAGTAAATGTGCTCTGGGTTGCATTTTAAAATAAATCTTTGGAATGAATATAACATTTAATGAATCTAAGTGGTTATCAGTGGTCACTGATAAAGAGGTTCTGTTCCAATTTTTGGAAAAGCATTTTATCCTTCACATTAGGTAATCTGTCATAACTATGACTGTCTTATACTAAAGTTCAACTTTTTTTGATATTGGGCCATAACCACTAGTGATACTTTACTAACGATTATATTTTAAGTTAAACCCATGTATTAAGCTATAAAGTGACTTGAGTGAATGGTAAATAAAATGTAACAATAATGAAGTTATTTAATTGTAGTTTCTAGTGTGAACATAGAACTCAGTAAAATTTTTACTTAAATTCTGTATTCAGTTTTTTCTGCTAAAGTTGTTTGGATCTAAGTCAAAAAGAGGTGAGGGTTATCTTTTAAAGTCATTTGAACAAATTCCATGGCTGTTCTCCCAGTTAGTGAGTTTTCACTGCATTTGCGGCAAGCTAATTGCTTTTGCTAATAAATAATCTAAAATCGATGCTGACAGCAGTTAATTGGCACAGAGATTTTATTTTGTAAAGCTCTTGGCTAACGACCTTCTTTAAATTAATAGCATTAAGTGCTATGAGGAAATAAATCTGAAGAATTGCCTGTCATTTGCTTGTCATGTCTAATAACTTCCAATAATGATGGCTGATAGATTTTTGCACATTCCATTATTGAAGTTGGTGCATGTAATTATTCTCCTCATTATATGTAAACAATTAGCGATATTTGGTATTTCCTTGCAGTAAAGCTATTAAGTACAAGTAACAGAGGTTAGAAGCTGTTTTAAAATCTGGATTTTAATTATTCGAATGTAGGAAGTCTTTCATTCTATTTGGATATATTAAGGGTATTTATTTTAAACCTTTTTGAATAGGACTTACAAAAATAAGTAGTATGTGTTTTAAAATGTGACAATTTATGAAAATTTTTGTTTGTAGCTTGAAGAAGTCATGGAAAAAGAAACTTACAAGACGGCTAAATTAATTCTTGAAAGGTTTGATCCAGACTCAAAGAAAGCAAAGGTAAGACTGTGATATCATTACTATTTTATTATAAATTACACATTGTAATAGGTCACTGTAATAACATTAGTATAATTGACAGGAGTGTGAGCCGCCATCTGCTGGAGCAGCTGTAACTGCAAGAGCTGGACAAGGTAAATAACTTTGTAGAAACTGCTGCTGCTGTTGGAAAGATCCATATTTACCCAAGTGAGTTCAAAAGTGTGTTGGAGGTGTGCAAAAACTTATGTAGAATGCTTTGATGTTAATTTATAGTTGGTAATTTGGGATATGACTTAGGGTGGATGGTAATAATTTTATTTCGTTTTGATTTTAAGGGGATATGTTAAGTTAGGATATCACATCTGTTGAGATTAAATATAAAATTCTTTTTAATTTTTTAAAATTTAAGTAATTTCATCAATATTTTGTAAATATTTCCCACTTTTAGATCATAATCTCTTGAATATCTGTTATTTAAATCCTTACCTTTTTATGTTTTCTTTTTGAAAAATGTAATGGTTTCTATGAAATTGGAAGTTGCTTTAAACATAACACTTATTTAAGAATAGAATAAAATAATTTAGAAATAAGAAAAATGAAAATTGAATTATTACTATATAATATTAATTATTTTTGAGGTTGTATTACCATATTGTTAATGAAGTCTTCACTATTACATCATTAAATGTAATATAAAATTTTAACAGTCATTATATTGAGTGATTACATAAAATATTCCTAAGTCTGGCATGGGAAAAAATATTCTGAGTTTGCAACAACTTTTGTCTTTGTTCTTTTCTCTAATAGTATAGCTTGTAAGGGTTTTGTTGCAATATAGAATATGTTACTCTAAAAAATTTAACTTCAATTTGTGCATCCCCCGCCCAAGAATTATAACCTGCTTTGTAAAGGTAGAATGACATTTAGACCTTTGAAAGGAAATCTTTTTATAAATATTCACAAAGATCGTGGATATTAAAGAAGTCATAATAATTTTAGGTTTTCCGATTGGCAGGGCTATATGGGAAGAATCCCCTCTACCTCCACATCATCCATAAGTAGGATTTTGGTTCACAGAAATATTAACCTTTTTTTTTTTTATTTTGAAGCCTTCCTTCACTTTTGCAAAAAGTGAAAGTTCACATGATTAAAATGAATTAGGCATATAATTGCGATAAACTCCTACTTTCATAACCAGTTGAAATTTTTCTACAATGTATATATGTCTTTCTAGCAAATACAAAAACATTTTTTGGCCTATAGACCAGATTTCTATAATTTCTAAAGCATTTATATAACTGGTACTAATTTTTCAAGAACGTGTGTGTGTGTGTGTGTGTGTGTGTGTGTGTGTGTATAATTTGTAATATATAATTTTATAATATATAATATATATAATACATATAATTTTATAATATATATAATATATAATACATATAATTTTATAATATATATAATATATATAACATATTGTATATTATATATATAGAGAGAGAGAGAGAGAGAGAAAGAAAGAGAGAGAGAGAGAGACTTGCTTCATCCCCCAGGCTGGAGTGCAGTGGCACAATATTGGTTCACTGCAACCTTGGCTTCCTGTGTGAGTCCCCCCAGCTTCAGACTCCCAAGTAGCTAGGATTACAAGCCTATGTCATCACACCTAACTAATTTTTGTATTTTTAGTAGAAATGGCATTTCACCATGTTGGCCAGGCTAGTCTCGAACTCCTGACCTCAGGTAATCTGCACCCCCCCCGCCTCCCAAAGTGCTGGGATTACAGGCATGAGCCACCATGCCCAGCCAAGAATATTTTTCTGTTAAACTTATAGAAGCAGAGAGTGGAGATATTATTTCTAGGGGTGGAGAGCAGGCATGGGAGAAATGGGTAAATATCAGTCAAAGGATACATTTCAGTTATCTAGGTGAATAACTTCAGGTGAATAACTATAGCATGGTGACAATACTAATACTGTACTGTATACTTGAAATTTGCTAAGAAAGTAGATCTTGTATTCTCAGCACACACATACACAGAGGTAACTGAGTTTTTGTGCTTACTGATTCCTCTATCTGGAATGTTCTTCCCTCTGGGAGGAACATTGATTCTTGAGGGAAGAACATACTAGACAGAGGAATCAGTAAGTGCAAAGACCCTGAGTGAAAAACATGTCTGGAGTGCTATGGAATAGCAGGGAGGCCTGTATGACTGGACTAGGGAGAGTAGGAAGAGTGGCAGCAGGAAAGTAACAAGGGATCATCTCATGTAAGGCTTTGTAGAATGTGGGCCATTGTAAAAACTTGAGTTCGCAGTTAGGATTTTTTGTTTAAGAAGTTTTGTTTTTAGCAGAGGATTGACATGGTCTCCATTATGTCTTCAAGGCTACTGTATTCAGAAGAGGCTACAGAGGGAGCAAAGGTGAAAGCAGGAAGACTAATTAGGAAGCTACTGCAGTAATACAGGAAAGCATTTGATGATCACTTAGACCAGGAGTATCTAATCCCTAGGCTACATTGGAAGAATTGTCTTGGGTTACATATAAAATACGCTAACACTAATGATAGCTGATGCTAAAAAAAAAAATCTCATAATGTTTAAGAAAATTTGCAAATTTGTGTTTGGTTACATTCAAAGCCGTCCTGGGCCACAAGCAGCCCATGGGCTGTGAGTTGGACAAGCTTGGTTTAGACCTTGCATAGTAATATTGGAAGTGGTTTTTAAAAATAATTAACTTGGCCAGGCATGGTGGCTCACGCATGTAATCTCAGCACTTCGGGAGGCCAAGGTGGGTGGATCACCTGAGGTCACGAGTTTGAAACCAGCCTGGCCAACATGGTGAAACCATGTCTCTACTAAAAATACAATTAGTCAAGCATGGTGTTAGGTGCCTGTAATTCCAGCTACTCAGGAGGCTGAGGCAGGAGAATTGCTTGAACTCAGGAGGTGGAGTTTTTAGTGAGCCAAGATTGTGCCACCGCACTCCAACCTGGGCAACAGTGTGAGACTCCATCTCAAAAACAAACTAATTTTTTTATTTTTTAAAATTTAATTTTCTCTTTCACTACACCCCAGCTTAAGGTAGTTTATGAAATGGTCAGATTTTGTATATATTTTAAAAATAGAAATTTGCTAAGAAAGTAGAAACCAAAAGATTTCTTGATGCATTGCATATGGAGTCAGAAGAGGAGGAGTCAAGGATGACCTTAAAGATTTTGGCCTGAGTAACTGGAAAGATGGAGTTGCCATTTACTGAGATGGTGGAAACTGCAAGAGAAATACTTTCTGGAGAGGTTCTGAGATGGAGTAGTGAAGAACAAGGTTGATTTTGGACATGTGTTTGAGACACCTATTAGACAGACATCCAACTAGAAATGTCAAGAAAGCAGTTGAATATGAGTCTGGCAAACAGGAATTTTCTGGCCTGGAGATATAAGTTTTTGTGTTATTAGCATGTGGATGACATTAAAACAGTGAGCATGTATTGAAAATTAAAGTAGAAATTAAAGATTTTCTTTATCTTTATACCAAATGGAGCAATACTTTATATTTTGCTGTTTTTTGGAGATGTGTTTGATTAAGAAAATCTGAAAAACACCTAATAAAATAATAAATTTACCTTAATAAATTTGCCTCATAAGAAATTTGGTTGTTCTTTACATAAGTATCTACTTTATACTGTTAAAATTATTTAGTATATAACAAACCATCCTAAAATTTAGTGATTTAAAATAGCATTTTTTTTTTTTTTTGCTCATGAAATTTGCAATTTGGCTAGGGTTTGGTGGAGACAGTTCATCTGTGTCTCACATCAGTTGGAGCTACTTTATTGAGCTAGAGAATCTACTATCAAGGTAGTTTACATGGCTGACAAGTTGGTGCTGGCTGTTGGTTCCTCTCCATGTGGACTTCTCTCTGGGGTCACTTGAGCTTACTCCTCCATGATGGTTCTGACAGCAGACAGAAAGTCCTGGATTCTGGCACAACTTCGCTCTGTTGATTCAAACCATCAGAGTACAGTTTCAAGGGGAGGGTATATAGATATCCTCCGATCCCATTTGTTGAAAGGAGAATCAAAGAATTTTGGACTCTTATTTTAAAACTGCCACATGTGCCTTAATATAGATAATAAAGACATTTCTATCCCAATCCAGTTTTTATTGTTTATCTCAAATGTCACCATCACTGTAAACGCTTTCTTCATCCCATCTAGATGACTAAGTTGTCAGTTCTCACTTCTTGTGAAGTCCTCACTTCACTCTATAGTACTTTGTTGGCTTCCATTATTTGGCATTTAGCTTGCATTAAAATATTTAGTGAGTTTGTATTTCTTGTCTTAAAGATAGCTTGCTACCTCTATATATAATTCTGAATCCCCTTCAATGTGCTTATCCTGGTGTTTTGCTGTTAGTGGTTTCTTAATAAATGTGTTGAGTTGAAAAAAATAAAAGTAAACATTTATATTGGCATTCCTGTATTTAGTTTAAATGTTATGAAATAGTAATTTACCAGATAGGACCTTGGTGAACTGTATGGTTCATGTTGTTTAATATTGAGATTGTTAGAAGTTAGACCAGATCAGAAATAAATTATTAAGGTGATAAAAGAAAGTAAATGTTAAGATAAATACCTATAAAGCAAATGTATTTTTATTTGAAAAACAGAACAACAAAAGAATAAATTCAACTAAAGGCTGGCAAGTGGCATGTATTATTATTAATAGCAAACTTTCTGCTTAAAGATAGCTTTTTTATATGGTCTCCTGAAGTTAAGCTGAGATTCTAAACACAGCAGGCTGATTAGCAATCTTAATTCCATCTGCAGTCTTTATTTGCCTTGCATGTAACACTTACAGAATGGACATGAAGATGGGGACATTTTTTGGGAGGCCATTATTCTGTTTATCACACTAAATAAGTTGGGTAATAGGCAGCTGGAAATTTAACATTGAAATGCAATAGGAAAGAAGATTAATTTCATAGGTGTTTATTAAGCTCATACTCTGTACCTATTAACTTGCCCACATCATGTGGCTGCAAAGATGCAGTTCCTGCTTATTAACTTTTGATTAAAATAGCTATACACATGTAAATAAATGGTATACTGAGGACCAAAATGAAGGTAGGCATGAATTAAAATGCATTATAACTTTTAATAATA